ATGGATGCCATCGATGAAGGTGGAGCTTTTGCGCCTATACCGGGGCGCATTGGCGGCGATTTCCGCAGTGCTGTCGGGAGGGTCAGTGTCCAAGTCGCTGGCAAGCTCGGGCCTGGGCTGCAGGGCTGGTGCAGACATGTCTGGCTGATCGAGGTGGTGAAGTGATGTGGATGGGCTGGGGTAAAGTGGAAAGTTACGAGGCTCAACGTTTGAGAGCCTCTTCCAGATATAAGACTGTTGATGGGGGCCTCGATGTGTTTGTAGTAAGGATCAGGAGGGAGATGTTTGATGGGAGGTGCAGGATATAATGGTATGCCGAGTTCTGGCCTCGAGGTAGAGGTAGCGATGCCACGAGGCTGCGAGGAGTCGACTACGACTCATCCCAACAACACCCTTTACCTGGCAGGAACCCATCCCGGGCAGTCATGAAAGAGGAAGGCGCGCGAGGATCAGGGGTGCGGAACGGGGGTGAACAAGGGGGTGCGATATGGCACTCACAGGAGGGTGTCCATTGTGAATAAGAGGCCGGGGTCCGATCCACCTCGACTTGACTACGCTCTGCACCGGCTTGACGATGATCCAGGGGTGGAAGACTCGTCACTATCGACTTCCATCCACGGGAGCTTCCGCTGATGGATGAAGATGGCGCTTTGCTTGGTGGAAGAGAGAAGGGAGTCAAGCGATCTTTTCAGAGGTCTGGACGTGTGGACTTTCGGTGAAGGTGCGTCCAAGTTGTGCCGATATGCCCCAAAAGATAACCTTGTTGATATCAGTAAAGGGTACAATGAGTTTCAAAGGGATGTAACTGACTGTGGCTAGAGATGCCGATAAGGAAGCATGTGATGAGGAGGAATGCTGCAATGAGTTGACATGGACGAGTGACGTTGAATCTCGGCTAGCAGCACCGTATGAGGGGCAACTCCGTCAAGCGGCGGGCTGATGCCGGAAGGCCGCTCTGCTGGGGGTGAACAGTCAGCCGGCAGATGGGGGCACTGGCTGTCAATGGGCGATGGATGGCGATGATAATGTAATGTGTGTGTGTGAAAGGTCGGTCTGCCGAGGAGGATGAGAAGTAACGCCCGGTGCGGTCTCAGATATCCCGAGCTCGCCCAATGGATGGATGGATTAGGTCTGCTTCAAACTTCAGTTGAATCTGTGATCTCATTGGGGGCTTTCCCTCCCTCTGAACTTGCGCCTGCCCGCTGCCCGCCCGCTGCAACAACGCCCAGAGAATCAACCGGCACGGCGGGACGCTGGAGCTCTTTGCGGCGTGCACGGGCCATTAGATGGCTCATCCCTCGGGTCTCCTCGGCACTGGCGTCATTGGTCGCTCACCTCTTGCTCTCAGCATCACCGGCCAGCTGTCAGCATCGGCTCAGGACTGGCAGAACTTCGGCCTGGAAGCCAACGTAACGGGAGCTCCAGCTGGCCCGTGCCCTCTCTCTGTCCAGTCGTCCCAGTCCATTAGCGGGATGACCTACTTAATCAAGACAAGTGTGCTTGTCGGTCTTGCTCAGGCTCGGCTCGGTCCAGGCTCTGCCTCAGCCACAACTTCATGCAACGTGTGAAGCACAGAAGGCACAACAGAACGGCAGTCCCGAAATCGGTATCTATGTATATACGATAAGTTTCGTTTCGGCATGGACTTGGTCCTTTTATGGTCGTCTTGTCAGCCTCGTCCATCCTGGCCTCCCGCTTCTCCCGCTTCCTCTCGCGTTTTTCTACTTGTCTCGCCTGTCGTCGTGCATCCTTCTCGCGCTTTCTCTCAATCAGAGCTTGCTCAATCTCATTTCTCGAAGGTGACCGAGGAGCTCGTGCAATGTCTCCAAGTTTCTGCAGTAGAGCTTGAGACCTAGACACGTCACTGTCGTACAACTCCTGTAGTCGTTCCGCATCCTTGACAGCCAGCATGAGCAATGCCTGTAGGGCAAAGTGAGCATCATTCCCAGCTGCGTGTAGATTGCCAGAAGGTACACCCAACGTTTCGCAAAGTTTCGCAAGGCTGAGGCGATAAGACAGCTGGAGAGGCCACTGTGCAACCTTGTTTGTATCGAAAAGATATAGCAGCCGTGAGCATGCAGAGTCGCGCGTGGATGTGAAGCCGGAAAAAGGGGCAAAGTCAATGCCAAGATTATTGAACATCTTCAAGTCTCGGTAGGCCCCGTGAAAAACGTAAGCGAAATCTCGTTCCGCCGTCACCTCATGAATTTTCTCTTGGATCTCGGACAACTGGATTGGCCGGGACTCCCCATAGAAGAATGTTTCTGACGCCTTCTGGCAGTATTTCGAATCTCCCACGGTGAATTGATAAGATCGAATGAGAGTGTCCGAAGTAGACGGGTCGTGGTTCGTGAGATAATGGAGTCTCCGAGTGTCCAAGACGGAAATACCGACATGTAGTTGCGGATCCGGAGCGATCTTGTCGTAACCCTGATTGGTATCGATGTCGATTCTGACTAGCAGCATTTTCAAATGTAGTACTCGTACATAAATGCAGTCTACCCCGCTCCAGGACTCCCGGCTCATCAGGACTCCCGGCCCCGGCGTCGGGTGGCTCAGGCGTGGCTCAGGATTAAAGCAGCAAGGCCTCAATCCGTATCCAGCTTAGGTCAGCTTTGGTAAAACCCACGTATCTCCTGGGTTCCCGTACCCATGCCCGTGCAATGCCATCCGTCAGAGGCTGAAGAAATTTATTTTGGCCTGCCAGCTCACGTCCAACTCACCCCAAACTCGCCCGAGGCTGCTCCCGCTGAGAGCTCCCACACCACACACACACCCGAACCTCCCATTCCCACACCTTCGGTTCCATCGACTCCGGGTGTCCTTCCTCCATCGCGAATCCGTTCCCAGCCTGCTCGTCCCCTGCCTGCACGTCTGGTTCCTTTGATTCCCGCCAATCTCCCGGGAATCCCCTACTACTCCTTTTTCCCTCGTCGCATCATCACCACACACACACCACATACATCGCCCACGATGGCCTCGACACTAGACGCTCTCCAGTCTTTCCTGGCCACCAACCCCATCACCTCGGCCGTCGGCGATGCCGTCAACTCCTTCTCCGAGAGGAGAGCCAAGCTCGGCCTCCCCAACCCCGGAACTGTCGAGAACCTGACCAGGGAGGTCACCCGCGATGCCTTTGTCAACAACTACATGTTCTCCGGTCTGCGCGCCGACATCACCAAGGCCTTCAGCCTGTCACCTCTGTTCCAGGTCTCCCATGCCTTTGCCATGGGCGAGCGCCTGAACCCCTACACCTTTGCCGCCCTCTACGGCACCAACAAGGTACGTCGGCTCGCCTTTTGATGGCCCGTCCCATCCGATACGCTTTTCAAAAGACACACCCTAACCCAATTCCTCCCAGGTCTTCCTCCAGGGCAACGTCGACAATGACGGCCAGCTTTCCGCTCGCTTCAACTGGCGGTGGTCCGACAAGCTGGTCTCCAAGTCCCAGCTCGCCGTCGTTCCCGGCACCGGCCAGGACATGCTCCAGCTCGAGTCCGAATACGTCGGCGACGACTTCACCGCCTCGGTCAAGGCCATGAACCCCAGCGCCTTCGACGGCGGCCTCACCGGCATCTTCGTCGGCAGCTACCTCCAGTCCGTCACCCCCCGCCTGTCCCTCGGCCTCGAGACCGTCTGGCAGCGCGCCGGCATGACCGCCGGCCCCGACACGGCCACCTCGTACTCCCTCCGCTACAAGGCCGAGGACTGGGTCGCCACCGCCCAGCTCCAGGCCCAGGGCATCATCAGCACCACCTACTGGCGCCGCCTCTCCGAGCGCGCCCAGGCCGGCTGCGACCTCAACATCTCCCTCGCCCCCAGCGGCGCTGCCCTCATGGGCGGTCCCTCGCGCGAGGGCACCGCCACCATGGGTGCTAAGTACGACTTCCGCATGTCCACCTTCCGCGCCCAGGTCGACTCCAAGGGCAAGCTCAGCTGCCTGCTCGAGAAGCGCATCGCCGCCCCCGTCATGATGACCTTTGCCAGCGACGTCGACTACTTCTCGGTATGTCTTGCACATCGACCCTTACTTCATATTGACCACACGCTGACTGACCCCCACAGCAACAAGCCAAGATTGGTGTCGCCATCTCCGTCGAGGCCGGCGGCGAGGAGCTCCAGGAGCAGCAGGAGGCCCTCGGCTCCCAGCCTTCCCCCAACATCCCCTTCTAAGCCGGCCCTGCCGTGACTAGATGATCACCCCCCACAACCTCCGCTCCTAATCAAAACCCAAGCCGTTAATTGTTGTAGAGGGGCGAACAACGAGCGGCGCGCATCGGGGACACACGCGCGCACAACCACCCGGCCTCGGCAAGCCTTTCCTCACCCATCTTGTTTTTCCCCCTTGTCTTATTATTCGGGCCCCTTCGCGCCTATCCCGCGAATGCCTTCCCTCCCAACATCTTGCCGAGGCCGACGTACCCCCGGGTGCGCGCGCTGCCTCTCCCGTCGTTCGCCGCCGACGCCTTGTTTCTTGTTCCTTTCCGGGAACAAAACCGTGTACTATACTTTGCTCTCCACGCGAGAGTAACCCATTTGCCGATGCATGTGCTTTTTTCTCACCCGGCGGTAGAAGCCAGTTTACCTTTTGCTGGGGTGGTTTTTACGTGCCCCGTCGGGCGAGGGGGGCGCGAGGTCGTTTATGAGCAGCGGGCTCGGCATTGGCGATGCCTGCCGCTGCGCGCGGCATGTACTGTGTATGAAAGGAGATAGACAAATGGACACCATGACGAAGACGAGGGCGGGTGTGAAATGATACAGGGTGTGGTGGTACGTTGCCAAAGGGAAGGCAGTCCACCCACCTGCCTTCCCGATGACGTGAGCTGCACCTAGACGCAGCCAACACAGCCAGATCCAAGGGATCGGAGCTACACCGAGCAAAAGTAAAGATGGTCAAAAGTAAATACCTGCAAAATGTACATCTCGTCTCCCTGATCAAAACGCGCTCCTCCAAAAGTGCAAAAAGTGATGACCCCCGTTTTGCGGGAGCCCCATAATTGTGCAAGAGCCAGGAATCGAACCAGGGTCTAGCGTATGGGAAACGCTCATACTAACCACTATACTACTCATGCGGTTGCTGGTGGGGACTAGCTGAAAACAATGGAATAAGTAGCCTGGCCCTGTGTCGGAACGAAAATCGCTGTTGAGTGCCCTGTATGAGGTGCCAAAGCTGTGAAACTATTCCGAAGACAACTTCATGCTATTTTCTACCTTCAAAGGCGTCCTTGAGGCGTTTTAGTGAAAATTGTGGCTGTTGCGGCTTCGTCCTGATGGCGGCCGGGCACCGACACGACACGAAGTGTCTGCTGCAGCTTCAGTGCTGCCAGCCGGAGCCCTTGCGTCACGAGAAAGTGCGGGACATGATCTGTGCTGCTCAAAACCAGCTTCTAAATTTACTCTTACTACATACTCAGCCGTCAAACGTGCGCTCAAGTCGCGGGAGACATGGACCTCAAGCGGGCTGGCCATGACGGAACACAGGTCCATAGACCCGTCAGCGTCCTGTATTGCAGGCGCCGTGCTGATCCTTGTACTATAACAAAATTACACACGATGTGATGGTCTGCAGATCCTTCGAAGCACCGGTTTCTAGAAGTTTGCTGAACGAGGTCATGTCCAGCTGCTCAGTGAGGTGCTCAGTGGAAGCCCCACTTGAGCTCCCCTCGGCCAGTCAACCCCACCACTCCACGAGCATGCATGCAATTCCGCCAACTTCCATCATCATCATCATCATCACCACCCGCCCTCGACAACCCGAACCTCCTCCCCCCGAACCCTCGACCCTCTCCCCCCTACCCCGCCATGGCCACCTCAAAATCCGACAAGATCGAAAAGATCATCGCCCGCCTCCAGGCCCGCATCGGCGAGGGCCAGTTCTACGAGGCCCAGCAACAAACCCGCGTCGTCGCCGCCCGCTACATCAAGGCCTCCAACTGGGATGCCGCCGTCGACATCCTCTACAACGTCGCTCAGTCCCTCCTCAAGGCCGGCCAGGGCGGCTCCGGCGGCGACCTGAGCATCATGCTCGTCGACGTCTACAAGCAGGCCACCCTCAAGCCCGACCCCGCCAACAGGGGCAAGCTGCTGACCCTCGCCCGCCTCTTCGCCGCCGGCGAGCCCACGCGAAAGACGTTCCTCACAGAATCCATCAGGTATGTAGCAGTAATAGAGTGTTTTTGTCATGCGGGACATTTGGCTAATTCTCGTCTTCGCCGCAGCTGGTCGAGCAAGTTCGGAGAGTACCCCGCCGGCGACCCCGAGCTGCACCACGTCGCCGGCTCGCTCTACGCCGAGGAACACGACGCATACGAGGCCGAGCGGCATCTGGTCCTGGGCACGAAAGACTCGGCCGAGGTCCTCGCCTCCATGGAGTGGGCCTGGTACAAGGAGGACGACTCGCACACGGCCGCTCTCTACGCCTCCCGCGCCATCCTGCCTTATCTCCTCGTCGGCAACGTCCGCGCCGCCAATGTCGCATACCGCCTCTTCGCCACCCGTCTGTCCGAGGAAGGCGCCGCCGGCGTCCAAGACGTCAGCACTTCCACCTCAGACATCCGCATCTTCCCCGGCCTGCCGCTGCTCAACTTCCTCGGCCTCCTTCTGCTGGCCATCCAGCGCGGCGCTCCCGATGCGTACCGCGCCCTCGTCTCGAAGTATGCCTCCCAGATCGCGGAGACGGGCGCATGGGGCGATGCCCTCGAGACCGTCGCGGAGATGTACTTTGGCATCGCCCGCCCGAGGCAGAGCAACCCGCTCATGGACATGATGAGCAGCATGTTTGGCGGCGGCGCGCCCGGTGCCGCCCAGGGCCGGCCGGCCACGAGGAGGGTCGAGGCACCGACGGCCGAGGGGCTGGATTGAGGGGATGGAGCTAGGCGACATCGCCTCCCTTCAAAAAACACACCAGCAGCACCGGCGTCGCTGCGTGGCGGAAACGCAGAGGTGGCCCGGGGAGGACCACAAACCGTCAGAGGTGCATCTAGCGGCGCATCCCATGGTCGCCGGCCTCGTACATCCACTGATCCTCCTCGAGAGCCGCCACCTTGGCCCTCAGGCTCCTCCTGACCGCCTCGAGAAGTTCTGCGCGCACGCGGTGGTCAGTTTTCAGTAGACAAACGACAGGATACCCCACAGCAAGGCAGCGAATAAAAACATAGTAGACCCTCGCAAGTTGACGTACCTTCAGGCTGGTCCGGTACCGCCGCGTGATTGACTCTGTGCTGCTTGACCGCGTCCGCCAGGCGTTGGCGTTCTTCTGCCGAGACGTCAGTATGCAATAATGAAATCCTTGCTCGGGATAACCTACGCTTGCTCTCCTCCTGATCATGCATGACGCCTTCGTCTCCATCGTCCAGTACGCCCGCCATGGGCAGTTCGCCAATGACGATGTCGCCGTTACGGTCACGCACTACAACGTCGCCGCTCTCGCTGCCTCCGCTCCCGGGCGTACCCATCCGCAGCATCTCGGACGCAGACTCTTCGGAGGGGATTGCAGAACCAGGGTGGGTGGAAGATGCCGGACCGGCTCCTGCAACGGGCGTTGGGCGCCGTGTGAGGCGGCTCTGGAAGAGGTTTCGCGATACACCACCCACGCCACCAGTAACTGGCGGCGCGCGCCGGGGAGGTGGGATGGGAGCTTGGCGCTGGCGGTCTGCCATGCTGAATGAGCTGGTGATATTTCTCGGTATTGAAGTAAGGGCGGGAATGGTGATGCGCGTATGATGGTGGTCGCAGGGAATAGTTGTAAGGTGCTGATGAGCCCCTCTGTTTACTTTGTCGTTGGTGTCGTTGCACAGTGACGACACTGTGTATGTGGCGGGCATCGCACGGTATGGAAAGGGGGTTTCGCTACACCACCACCCAAGCTCTATCACAGGAAATTGAACAACTGCTGCTTCATCTCAGAATGCTTCATGTCTACCGTCATTATCCCTAGTCTTGTACAACTGGCGAACCATCGCCCCAGAATATGCCGTCCGAAAAACCCGATCCAGATGCCCACCATGCAAGTTGCCTTTCCTCCATACAAATCAATCAACAAACAAAACTCCCACCAACTCCGATGCAGATGCTTGACCTGAGCTGCAGCTCCGTGGCCACCGCTCTTTTCGTACAGCTCCATCCTGAGCCTCAGCTCTCGCACACCCATTCGGCAAAGACGCACCACCTGGCCGTCCGGTCGGCCAGAACAAGGCCCCTCCACACTCCCTTTTCGGAGCACTTGATGATCGTCTCCCACGTGCCACCGTCGCCGAGCTCTTCCTCCCTTGAGTTTCGACTGCCGACGCTGATACCCTTGCGGTCCTCCTTGCGCATCAGACGCAAGATCTTGCCTCCCGGAGTCTGAATCGCGAGCTTGGCTGGCTTGTGGGTTAAGCCCGAGGCGGACGAGCTCGGGTTGGAGCCGCTCACGCTCGTGGCGACCATGCTCATGGCAGAGCCGGGTCTGGCAAAGGGAACCGGGCTCACCCCGCCGGGATTTGATGATGGCGTCATGACGGAGCCTGGTCCGCCGCTTGATAATGAGCTTGGGTGCTGGCGAACAGCGAAGACAAAAGTGTTGTTGAGCGCCAGACGCTGGCACTGAGGCTGGACAACGTAGATATCGTGACGCTGAGCGTGAGGTGTCGGGTGCCGCGTCACAAACTCGTATGGCGGGTTCTCTCCCGTGTGGATGATGGGCAGAGTGAATGCCACGGGGTGCGGGATGTCCTTGATGCTATGCATCAGACCTCGCTTGCCGGCATACACCTTCAGAACGCCCTGTCCCTCATCGCCAGGAAGCAGCGCCTTGATCGTGTAGCGCTTGATGCCGTTGAACCACTCAGCCTGCGCAAGCGCCCTCTTCTTCACCGTGTCGCCGCTCTCAAAGTAGTCGCCGTCCTGATCTCTTGCGTACGCGCGCACCTCAACCTCGGCGGCGACCTCGACATCCGCAGGAACGTTAATCTTGACATGGACCATCTCGAGGTCCTCGATCCGCGTCAGCGAGGTGTTGTAGTCGGCCATTTCCACCATGTTCTTGAAAAAGGCCGGATTGGCGCATGGCAGGTTGAGCAGAACCTCGTAGGCCTGTGGTGGGCAGATGTGCTGTTGCTCGTGGTGCTCGGGGATATGTGTCCAGCACAGCTCCAGCGGCCGGGCCAGGAACCACCAGAAGTCTGCCGTCGTCGAAGGCGCGCTGGAGTACATGTGCCTCTTGGGATACGATGGACTAGCCAGACAGCAGTCCATCATGCGCCATTCGTTGTCAATGAGAACCGCGTTCCACCAATGGTTCGGCCTGGGCATCATGTTGGAGTCTGGGATCTCGCCCGGGGTCTTGAGGTATCCGCGGACCACCTCGCATTGGATGCCAACAGCTCCACACATTTCCATAACGATGAGGGCGTATTCCTCCGCGCAGGCACGCTTCGTCTGGATCACGCGTTTGGTGTCGATGGTGCCTTCAAAATCTTCCTCCCAGCAGATGCGTTCCGATGTCCAGGTGAAGATGGCCCGCAGGCGTTGAACGTCGCTTCGGTATGGGCGGCAGACGTAAGTTGTAGCAAGCGTTATTGAGTTGGTCATTGGCGGCAGGCTGGCGATGAATCGCGAGTTCTTGTCCACCTGGCTCAGGTTGATGGATTGGTAGTCGATCGGTTCGGGCACGGGGTGTCCGTTGCCTCCCTCGTCTCCGTCGACGCCTTCACAGAGCTCGTCCACGGGATTCAGTGCCGGATGATCCAGCATCTGGCACCGCTCCTCGCGCTCGTGCCGCTCAATTTTACTCAGTGAGTTGGACCGGTTGATGTCTCTTCGCACTTGGACCCAATCAACCCCGTTGCCGAGACCCATGTCGCGGGCAGTATCTTTGGTGGAGTGTGCTGGAGAACCAAAGCCGGGCGACATTGGGGAACCAGGGGGCAGAGAGCGCGCAAAGGGAGATGACTTCATCGAGTCGGTGCCCGTGGCGATGTTGCTTCGGCCGGTGGCAACGCCTGTTTTGGCGGAGTCGAAGAGCTTCTTGAACAGACTGCGCTTGGGGGCCTTTGGCGTGACGAGACCTCCGAGACCCGATCCCACGTCGTCT